TTGGCGGTGACCATGCTGCTGGTACTGGCCCTGGCCTGCCAGCAGGAACCACCGGCCGCGGCGCCAGTTGCTGCTCCCGATTCGGGGGCGGCGGAAGCGGCGGCGGCATCAGCCCAAGCGGCAGCCGCAGCAGCCCAGGACGCCGGCGCCGCCGCTCGGGATGCGGCGGCGGAGGAAGCGCCGCGGCAGGGCGAGGACCGGCCCTCCATCTCGGTAATCGGGAGCGAATCGGCCTCGGTCTCCGCGTCAGGTACGGGAACCGGCACCGGATCCGTGTCCGGGACTGGTACCGTCACGGGCTCAGCCTCAGCGTCCGGAACTGGAACAGGTACTGGCTCAGCTTCCGGCACTGGTACGGTATCCGGCCAAGCCCAAACCGCCGGCCTGATGATTCCCACCGGGCTCAGCTACGAGACCGAGAGCCCCACCAAGTCCGACGGCTACTACACTCCGACGACTCACCGGGAGATCTACCAGAAGATTTCCACGGACTATCAGGAGATAGCCAAACTGACCAACGTGATCAGGGATGGCCAGCCCTTCCCTGCGGCGGAAATCTGGCTCCTCTATGAAGCGGGTTCTCACACGCGTATCGGTGCGCAGAGCCGTACGCTTCGGAGCTTCGCCATTGGCTCCTCGCCGCCCACGTATTTCCCCGAATCGGTAGAGTTCTACGACTCAGCCAGTTTCCTCGACGACCCGATCGAGAACGCCGTACGCGGGCGCAGAGAAGCGGAGAATTACACCGATGCACAAAAGCGCCAGGTGACCAACAAAGGCATGCTCAGGATCCTCTACCACTGGTCCAAGTTCTATATGATCATTGGCGCCGACCGCATGAGCTCCCGCCTGATCGACGAGGCCTGGGCCGTGTACGTGGGCGAGGAAGTCAACGGGGCTTATCCGAACTCTCTGGCGGCTCTGGCCCAGGGGCGGGAGGGCAACTTCGGACGGCAGGGCACCATCGACATCCCGCTGCGTCAGGCCATGGACCGGGCACGGCAGGCGGCTGACGATGGCGACGCCGCTGCTCTGGAAACGGCCGTCAACGACGTCTTCTCGCGTTTCAACGCCATGTTCTACCTGGCCACTGTCAGGTACATAGGCCGGGTGGCGGATGACGCACAGGCCGGCGACCGCGACGCCCTGGGAACCCACCAGGTCGAAGCTCTGGCGTTTTACCAGTCCATCCAGCCTGATGTCGCCAAGGCCGACCCGGCTGCCGATGAGACCATCGCGGCCTATCTCACGGGCGAGCCGAGCGCGATCACGGTAGCGTCGCGCGATGGGGCCCTGGCTGCCCTCAACCGGACGGCTTCGGCGCTCCTGCTCGAGCAGAGCGACCTGGTCACCAGGTACGATGCCGATACCGGGAACGGGCCCAGCGGCGCCCCGTCCCCATACACGGGCGAATTGGATCGCTCCTCCGGCCTGTTCATCCCGGTAAACCTCCCGCACGAGACCGACCGCAGCGTCCCCAGCCCGTCGGACGGTTACTACCACGCCACCACCAACCGGGAGCACTATCAGAAGATATCCTCGGACTACCAGGAGATCGCCAAACTGACCAACGTGATCAGAGAGGGCAACCCCCTGCCGGCGGCGGACATCTTCCTGTTGTACCAGTCGGAATGCACACCCGCATCGGCGTCCGCAGCAAGACCCTCCGGAGCTTCGCCCGTGACCCCGAAAGGGCTGAGGAATATCCCCTCGCAGCCGAGTTCTACGGATCCGGCAACTTCCTGGACGCTCCCATCAACAACGCCATACGCGGGCGCAGCGAAGCCGAAAACTGGACCGACGCCCAGAAGCGCCAGGCCATCAACAAGGGCGTCCTGAGGATCCTGTATCACTGGTCCAAGCACTATGTCATCGGCGGCTGCGCCGACCTGGACTCGGGCGACGTTGACGAGGGGTGGGGAATTTACGTCGGCTTACCTGGTGACGATGGAAGCTACCCCAACTCGTTGTCGGCCCTCGCCCGCAGCCGCGAAGGCAACTTCGGACGGGAAGGCACCATCGACATCCCACTGCGCGAAGCCTTCGAACGGGTACGGCAGGCCGCCGAAAACGGCGACGCCGCCGCCTGTGACGCTGCCGCACAGGAAGTCTACTCGCGCTTCAACGCCCTCTTCTACCTGGCCACTGTAAGGTACATAGGCCGGGTGGCGGATGACGCACAGGCGGGCGACCGCGACGCTTTGGGAACCCACCAGGTCGAAGCCATGGCGTTCTACCAGTCCATTCAACCGGAGGTAGCCAACGCCGCTGCGGCAGCCGATGAGACGATTGTGGCCTACTTGACTGCCGATCCTAGCGAGATTACCGCTGCTTCGCGAGACGGGGCCCTGGCCGCCCTCAACCGGGCCAGGTCGGGCCTCCTATTGACGCAGAGCGATCTCATCACAAGCTACTAGTGATAGACTCATCAGCCCCCAACAGGAGTACCCAAGCATGAAGAGTCTATCCCGCCGAGGCGTTTGGGCTATCTGGTTGCCAGCCGGATTGCTGACGATGGCGCTGGTTGCGTGCGGCGGGGGTGGTTCGCCACCTCCGCCCGCCGCCACGTCGCCGCCACCGGCGACGGCTGGCTCAGCCGCTGTCCAGGCTCCGGTCAATACTCCGATCCCGCCGACACCCACGTCCACGCCGGACCGGGATCGCACTCTCACCGTGTATTCTGGCCGTTCGCAAACGCTGGTGCATCCGTTGCTGGTGGCGTTCGGCGACCAGACCGGCGTGGACATCAGGGTCAAGTACGCCGGCAGCTCGTCCACAGCGGCGACCCTGCTGGAAGAGGGCGACAACACTCCGGCCGACGTGGTGTTCATGCAGGATCCCGGTTCCCTGGGCATCCTGGCCGACTCTGGAATGTTCACCCAGATTCCCCAGCAAACTCTGGACAAGGTGGACCCGCGGTTCCGATCTCCCACGGGACTGTGGATTGGCACATCGGGAAGGGCCCGCACCATCATCTACAACACCGAAGCAATCGACCCGGCTACCGACCTGCCGCCGTCCATACTGGACTTCACGGCTCCGGAGTGGAAGGGAAGGGTCGGCTGGGCGCCCCGCAACGGCTCCTTCCAGGCCTTCGTAACCTCCCTGCGGCTCTCCATAGGCGAGGATGCTGCCCGGATGTGGCTGGAAGGGATGCGCGAAAATGACGCCGTGGACTATCCCAATAACGTCACCACCGTTTCGGCTGCAGCAGCCGGTGAGGTGGACGTGGGTTTCGTGAACCACTATTACCTGGAACGGTTCCTTGAGGAACATGGCGAGGGGTTCGGGGCGCGGAACCACTACATCGGTAACGGTGACCCGGGAGCGCTGGTGCTGGTGGCCGGCGTGGGTATTCTGCATGCCTCTGAAAACAAGGATGTTGCCGAGGAGTTCGTGGAGTTCCTCTTGAGCGCCCCGGCCCAGACCTACTTCGCGCAGGAAATCAAGGAGTATCCAGTGTCGGCCGGCGTTGAACCGGAGGGCGACCTGCCCGCGCTGGAGTCCCTGGATCCACCCAACGTTGACCTGGGTAGCCTCAGCGACCTGGAAGGTACCCTCAAACTGCTGCGAGAGACCGAAGTCTTGCCGTGATGATTCGCGATACGTCGCGCAACATAGTCCGGTTCTTTCAGGGAAGGGAGCTGCTGCTTTGGGCGGCGGCTCTTTTCCTATTACTGGCGGTCGCATACGCGTTCTCGATTGACATTCGCGCCAGCCGAGGAGCGTCCATCACCGGAGACGAGCCGTTCTACCTGCTGACCACCCAGAGCCTCCTGGCGGATGGCGATCTGGACCTGGAGAATCAATACGACACCAGATCCTACAGGTCCTTCTTCGATCATCCCGACGACCTTTGGTATCAATCGGCCCCGACGCCTGACGGTCGGTTGCTCAGCCCCCATAACCCGGGCCTGTCGGTGGTGGCGATACCGGGGTTCTTACTGGCTGGACTGCGAGGAGTCCAGGTTCAGCTGATGCTGATGGCGGCCGCCACCATGTCGCTGGCTTTCGTTTTGGCAGACCGGCTCATTGGCAAACGTTTCATCTGCTGGGCAGTAACGCTAGGCGTCGGCTTGACCGCGACGGCGTTCATCTACTCCACGGAGATATATCCAGAGTTTCCGGCTGCGTTGGCCCTTGTCGTAGCTCTGCTGATCGCCACCCGCCGGAATAAACCGGACCCGTACCGTGCGTTGTTCCTGGCAGCAGCGCTGACCGCAATGTGCTGGCTGGGCACGAAGTATGTCGCGCTGGCACTGCCGGTTGCCGCCTATTTCTTGCTCCGGACTGATTGGTACGGGCGGAGCGCCCTGCTGGCGGGAGGCATCCCTTCAGCTGCCCTGTTCATCTGGTTCCACCTGCACGTCTTCGGCGGCCTGACCCCCTACGGCGTCAATGTGGTGTACGCTGACTGGAACACCGCCCAAATCCTCGGCGGCCACGTAGAGTTCACAGAGCGCTACTACCGGGTTTGGGGACTGTTCGTGGACCGGCGTTTCGGGATCGGTCGCTGGGCTCCGCTGCTGCTGGCAGTGGCGCCGGCACTGGCGCTGCTGGCCCTGCGCACCTGGGAGCAACGCTTGCTGCTCGTCCTGATAGCGATCCAACTGCTGATCGCGACCTTCGTCGCCATCACCATGATGGGCTGGTGGTTCCCCGGCCGGACGATGTTGACGGTCCTGCCGCTGTTCGTCGTGCCGCTGTCCCTGATGATCCGGCGAGTATCAACCGGCATGCGGTTGGTCATGGCGCTGCTGGGCGTCTGCACCCTCGCGTTCACCGCCGGCCTGGCCCACGCCGGACGCGTCGGGGAAATCACCATAGCGGTGGATCCATTCGACATGACGTTGGTGCCGTTCCAGGCGGTCGCCGGACTGTTCCCGCTCTACACCTCGTGGACGACCGAAACCTGGCAGCTGACCTACGCTTGGTGGGCAGCATTCGTGGTCGCCACGGCGGCGGTCTCACGGCCTGAACTCTCCGGAGGATGTCGACGGCTATTCGAGAAGGTCCTTGATGCCGTCGGCAAACGCCACTCGAGGCTCCCATCCGATGAGCGACTGAGCGATTGAGTAATCGGCTGCCTTGCGGGCCTCTTCAAACTCCCGCCTGGGATTGGGCACGATGTGCTGAACCGGACCGCCGATGGCGGCCGCTATGTCGTTCACCGAGGTTTCCTGTCCGGTCCCGATGTTGAGCACCGTGTGCTCACCTGCCGGTAATTCGGCGGTAGCGGCCAATATGTTCGCTTCCACCACATCGGAAACGTGGGTATACGATCGGGTCTGCGTCCCGTCGCCGTACACGGTGAGGGGGTTGCCCTCCTCCCGCATCCGCAGAAAGCGCGGTATCACCAGCGAATACGCACCTTGCGACGGCTGGCCGTGACCATAGACGTTGAAGTAACGCAGCGACACGACAGACATTCCGAACAGGCGCGCAAACAGGTCCGCGTACTGCTCACCCATCAGCTTCTGCAGCGCGTATGGTGATTTCGGGTTGGGCGCCATGTCCTCGCGCATCAGGTGGGTGGGCTGGTCGCCGTACACGCTGGAAGACGACGAGTTGATCATCCGACTCACGCCGTTGACCTGCGCCGCGCGCAAGACGTTCAGCGTGCCGGTCACGTTCACTTGGTGGGTCCCAACGGGGTCTGCTATCGATCGTTCGATACGCGCCCAAGCCGCAGTGTGGAACACCACTTCGGCTCCCTCGGTCGCGGATACCACCGCGTCCACGTCCGCGACTGAACCGTATAACGGCTCCGCCGACGGATTGAGCCGCTCCAAATTGCCGGTGGATAGATCGTCCAGCACGATCACCTGATGCCCAAGACGCACCAATCGGTCAACCAGGTGCGTCCCGATGAATCCGCACCCGCCGGTCACGACGCATTTCATTGTGCCCCCTGGTCATTCGGGACATAGAGTGGGATCGATCTGGTCCAAAAGTCCGTCGTCCTGCCTCGGCCCACTCCGGTGTACTCAAATCCGAGTTCCTGCATCAGGGCCGCGTCCAGCGCGTTCCTCCCGTCAAAAACGAAACGGGGCGGGCACATCCCACTGGCAATGGATTCCCAGTCGGCATCTACGAGTTGCTCCCACTCGGTCATCAGGACCACGGCCTGCGCCCCTTTGGTGGCCGCCATCGGGTCGCTCACCAACTCAACAGATTCCGGCAGAAACGCACGGGCAGATTCATTGGCTTGCGGATCATGAGCAGTAACCAGCACACCATCATCGGACAAAGCTCGGATCAGGTCCAACGCTGGCGCTTCTCTCACATCGTCGGTGTCGGGTTTGAACGCCAGTCCCAACACGGCGACGCGCAGCCCTGATATTGCCCCGCAGAACCTTTCCCGCAGTGCGTATAGCGGCAGCAACCGCTGACGGTTGTTCACCGTAATGACCGCACGCAGCAGCTCCACGCTCACCCCGCTGGTCAGCGCCAGGTGATCGAGCGCGCGCACATCCTTGGGAAAGCAGGAACCTCCGTAGCCTACGCCCGCATAGATTCTGCCCCCGGTCCTCGGGTCCATCGCCAGACCCTGGCTCACCGCGTCAATCGATGCGCCAACCCGCTCACACAGGGAGGCAATCTCGTTCATGAATGATATCCGCGTAGCCAATAAGGCGTTGCTGGCGTACTTGATCATCTCTGCGCTGGTGATGTCCGTAACGATACGGGGGGCGTCAATGCCGACATTCATCGCTTTCAGGACGTCAACTGACCCGGTGTCTCCTAGGGCCACCCCAATCACGATGCGATTCGGATGCTGCCAGTCCTGGATTGCTCGCCCCTCCCGCAAGAATTCCGGGTTGGAAACGTAGCAAATTCCTGAGCCCCTTAGCTCGTGGGTAATCATCCGCTCCCCGGTTCCCGGCGGCACTGTACTTTTCATCACCACCGTTGTATCCCAGGAACGCTGCTCCCTGACCCACGCCAGTGCCGACCGCATCTGACGAAGGTCCGCTCCACCCCCTCCACCTGGAGGCGTGCCCGTTGCCACCAACGCAACCCTTCCCAGCGGTTCTTCAAAATCGTCGGGTTGAGTGAACCGCAACCGTCCCGCCGCGACCGCACTTTGCGCCATTTCCTGTAACCCCGGCTCGTAGATGGGAACTCGTCCCGATTGGAGGTTTGCCACTCGGCCCGGGTCGATATCAACCCCCGTGACGTCATGTCCCGCGTCTGCCAGACAGGCCGCCGCCACCGTGCCCACATACCCCAGTCCAATTACTGTAATCTTCAAGCCGACTCGCTCCTACCCGTCGAAACCCTGCCCAGCGCTAATGATCCGCGCGCCGACCGGTCACGCTCCTCCTAAACTGAAGCCAAGGTGAAATCTACATTTGCAGGCCGGAGAGTGTCGGCCGGGGCGCTGGCGGTCAGTTCATCCGCTTGTGCTTGAAGCATGGTCCGGCATCGTCGCTTGACTTCCTCGCGACGACTGGACAGACGGCGAAAAAGTCGCCCAACTGCTCCTGCACCGCGGCACGGGTGCCCAGGCACTGGTTGGCGGTCGCCTCCTGACGTGCCCAGCCCCAGATGGCCTCGTCAGCGTTGAAATCGGGGCTGTAGCTGGGCAGATTCACCAGGCGCAGGTTCAAGTCCGGCGTGGCCAGATAGGCTCGCAGGGCGTCGCCACGATGGGCTGGTGAATTGTCCCAGATCACGGTCAGCGGTTCGGTGTGTTGCGCCCGCAACTGTTTCAGGAAGGCGGCTGAGGTAGCGGAGTTACTGTTGCCCTCCAGTTCCATCACCTCCACCTCGCCAGTCTGCAGGCACACCGCCGAGTAGTAGCTGGCCTTCTCACCACGTCGCGGGCTGGTGGAGTCCACCAGGGCCGGTTCTCCCTTCAGCACCCACTTGCCACGCAGGTCCGCGTCTGCCCGAAAGTGGGCCTCGTCAGCGAAGAATATCTTGGCCTCAGTCCGTCGGGCCGCCTCTGTCAGCGCGACGTACTCCGACACGAAGGCTTCCCGCCGTACCGGGTCCGCCTTGACCAACCGTTTCTTGGGACGCTTCAGTACAAACCCCAATCTATGCAGGTAGTTCAAACAACTGCTCCGGCTCAGCGCCAGCCCGAACCGTTCGTCTACAAACCGGCGCACCACCTTCCAGTTCCAGTTGGACAGGTCGATGCCAGCTTGCGATGGAGACCCCGGCACCGACGCCTTCAACTCGGCCCGCTGCTCCACGTCCAGCGCGGGGGGGAACCACCACTCTGTTCGAAAACCAGCGCCTTGGGGCCGCCCTCCGCGAATGCCCCAGCCCATTGGCCAATCGTATGGGCATCCCTTTCCAACGCCTGCGCCACCGCCGCAGCCGTCCAACCTTGCGCCAGTAGCCACACCGCGTGCCACCTTTCCCGCTCTCGGGGCGTCGGCGCGCGGTACATCCGCCGCCGCACCTCCGCCCCGTCCATGCACCACCGCTCCAGCAGCGCTCCCATCTCCGGCATGCTCACCAACCACCCCCACTCCGATATCTTGATCCTTTCCGGCCATCTCAACCGCCCCTATCCTACCCCAACACTATGCGGGTTTCACCTTGGCTTCGGTTTAGCTCTGGGGACGAAAGGATTCCCGCAATATGACTCCGCCTCATTCGCTGTAGACTCCGTATAGAACCTCCGACGGCACTCCCTGCAGAATCGCTCCCTGACCACCTTGGGGCCTCGCTTACGATGGCGAGTTACGATGTTGTTCGTCCCTTCGCATTGGGGACACGCCAGCCGCTTCTCTCTGGACATCGACAGTCAGCCTCTCTCGCTTTCTGGATGTGCTGTACTGGCCCGCCGATGGCCTCTGCGATCTCGTTCACCGAGGTTTCCTGACCGGTCCCGAGGTTCAGGGCCGTGTGCTCGCCCTCCGGCAGCTCGGCGGTGGCGGCCAGCACGTTCGCCTCCACTACGTCCAACACGTGGGTATGGGACCGGATCTGGCGCCCGTCGCCGTACACAGTCAACGGCCGTCCCCCGTCTCGCATCCCCAGGAACCGTGGGATCACCAGGGAGTACTGGCCTTCGGACGGTTGCCCCGGGCCGTACACGTTGAAGTAGCGCAGGGAGACAACCGTCATGCCGAATAGCCGCGTGTACGGGTTCGCGGTCTCTGTCACGGCGGTCACCGTCGGCAGGTCCGTCACCGATCCGATGATCAACTCGGCTTGGCGATTGCGTCGGAGTCGATCCCCGGTAGACAGGTCATCAAGGACCGTCACCTCGTTGCCAAGTTCCACAAGCTGGTCCACCAGGTGCGACCCGATGAATCCGCAGCCGCCGGTGACGAAACACTTCAACTTTTCCTCCTTGGCCCCATGGTCTCAAACCCGCCCCGGCAGCGGAAAGCCCGTGACGGCAAGATCGAGAGCCTCGCTGGCGACGTGCGAACCCGGCCGGTCATTCCAGGAAATCACGGAGCTTGTTGGCTCGGGCCGGCTGGCGCAGCTTCCGGATGGCCTTACCCTCAATCTGACGGATGCGCTCCCGGGTTACACCGAAAACCTTTCCGATTTCATCCAGCGTGCGGGGACTGCCGTCATCCAGGCCGAAGCGCATCCGCAAAACCCTGTTTTCCCGTTCTTCCAACGTGTCCAGCGCTTCCCCCAGCTGTTCCCGCAGCAGGTTCGCCGATACGGTTTCCTCCAAGAGTGGGGCGTTGGAATCTTCAATCAACTCCCACATCGATCCGTCCCCCTCTTCGCCTACCGGCTTGTCCAGAGACACGGTTTCCTGGGCAACCTTGCGGGTGTAGGCAACCTGTTCGGCGCTCATCTCCAGCGCCTCACCCAGTTCGGCCTCGGTGGGATCGCGACCCAACTCCTGCACCAGGCGCCGCTCCTGCCGGATCATCCGGTTGATTTTCTCCACCACGCGCACCGGCACCCGTATGGTGCGGCCCTGATCGGCGATGCCGCGGGTCACCGCCTGCCGGATCCACCAGGTGGCGTAGGTGCTGAATTTGTAGCCCCGCCGGTGATCGAACTTCTGCACACCACGCATCAGACCAAGGTTCCCCTCCTGCACCATATCCAGGAGGGACATACCACGACCCAGATAATTTTTGGCCACGCTCACAACCAGCCTCAGGTTGGCTTCGGCCAGATGGTCATGGGCGTGCGCTCCTTCCTCTTTCACCCGCTGAAAGCATCGGGCGACGTCTGCATTGGCTGCCTCCACCCGGTCGCTGATCCCGGGGTCACGCAGCATCCGGGACAGGGTGGATAGCTCGCAGCGGTCGTGGTCGCACTCCTCGTTCGGATGCAGTTCTACCCAAGCCGGCACGTAGGCCGACACCGCCGCCGAGACCTCGGGCGGCAACAGACGGGTGTCCAGCGACAGGTAGACGATGCGTCGGTAGGCTTCCTCAACCGTGACTCCCAGTTCATGGGCTACCCGCTCCACCAACTCGGATTGAATCACGCCGTCGATGGCCGCTCGAAACTCCGGAAGCGTCCCAATACGGTCCAACGTCGGAACACCATCCAATCCCAGATGGCGGGCCAAGGCTGTTGCCACATCGCCGTTGTGGGCGATGCGGGCCAGCAACAGCATGGCGCCCTCCCAGGCGGCCGGCCCTGTAGCATCGACCGCGCCGAAACCGGGCGCATCATCGGGATCGAACTCTCCGGCCAGTTCCCGTTTCATTTCGCACAGGTGCTTGGCGAGTTCCACTCTCCGGGCCAGTACGCGCTCTTCGGCGGCGGTCAGCAACGCCACCCGGCCCATCTCCCGCATGTAGAGGGCCACCGGGTCGTTGACGAGCTCCATATCGTCAACATCGCGCTCCGGTTCGTGCCGGTACCACTCCCCTTTCGCAATGGGAACATCATTACGACCATCGCCAACGGTCGTGACGGTGTTAGCAGTAATTCTCACAATCATCCGTCGCCGTCCCGCTCGTGTTGGTCGCTCGGAGGATGGCGGTAACTCCGCGAATAGCCGATGCACTTATTCACCGCGCCGCCTCACCCAGGTGAGTTAGAGCCCGGTAGCCTGTTCTCCGCTCTGGATACAAAGGGATTGCCGCAGTGAAGCTCCGTCCTGTCGTCATCCGACACGGCGTGGAAACTGTGGAGGCACTTCCGGCGGAAACGTTCCCGGACCACAACCGACGAGCGCAGGCGGCGGCGACTCACGATGTCGTCCATGCCGTTGCACCTGGGGTAGGCCAGCAACTTCGCTCTCGGCATCGCTGTTCAGCCTCCAAGGACTGGTTCGGCGCCAACAGTCCCCGTGTCGCCGCCGTATCGGGCAACAAAATGCCGCTCTACGCGCCCCGTAGCCAGCATCGTGCCGATGACCAGGAGCCACAGGAAGAACAGCCCGCCCACCACCGGGTGGATGATTGCCGCCGCGTCCACCCAGATGAGTTGCATGACAACTCCAAGCGTGCGACACCGGCGCCACCTTCTGTAATGTCCCGCCGACGCGCCACTGGAACCAGGCCGCCACGATCAGGGCCAGGCCGGCGGCGGTAAATCCTGCCTTTCCGGAAAGCCAGCGCAGGTTGTCCACCGCACCCACTCCGGTGACGTCGATCGTCGAAACGGTGGCCGGATCTGCCTGGAATGCGATCACCGCGGCGCAGACTCCTGACACGGCAGTGCCTATGCCAGATAGGACGAACAGGTAGGGCACGGCGGCGGTGGCCCAGCGGTCGCGGATGATCCAGGTCCGCAACAGGAACCAGCCCGCAACCATAAATGTCACGCCCGACGCCACCCGGGCGGCGCTGAACAGGCCGTACATCTCGCGATGCTCAGCCACCGACCGAAGAGATTCCAACAGCGTCCCCTGGTCGGCGTCGGAGGCCATTCGGGCGTACACCATTACCGCCGTTACCGCCGCCGTCAGCAGCAGCATTGCGCCGCCCCAGCGGGCCATCCGGTCCGGCGACCCACCCAGCGCCCGGTTCGCAGTGTCTTCCGCAGTGAACATGTCCATCACCTCCGATTGTCTGGCCGGTCGTCATAATTGCCCAGTTCAATATGCGCTGCGTGGGTGAATTGACGTGCATCGGATGACCGATTGTCCTCAGGGTGGGATGGAGTTCGGGGCCAAGAGAAACGACAACGCCAGTCCGGACCGGGGTTTAGCCCACGACCGTGCCCCGGCCCGGCTCCGACAGACGATTTCACGCCAGTAGTCATCTGTTGCGGGCTCGCGACGAAGGATGCCGCCACACCCCGCGGAAAGGACATTTTGCACCAGCGAGATGGACCGTCATCAGGTCAGCAATGCTGCTCCTTTCGAATCTCGGGCGCGCCTGAGTTGGCGGCCCATTCCCGGTTTCCGCTTGATTTTGTACTAGCGGCGGAGCTGGCTAACCTTGGATCTGCATCGCTCCGGACTTACCCTCATGCCGGGGCGATGGCGCAACGCGCGATCACTATTATCGCACTACGCACGCTATAACTCAATGCAGAATCATTCAATGCATTGCTGCACCAATATTTGTATATCAGTGCGCGCATAGTATCACGTCAGGTTATACGTTTCACCCATCCTGCGCGGCGATTTAGCCCGTCTTGGGGCTCGCTATTGCGCCCGCGACAGAGCAAGCGCGGTGTTTCGGAGAAGAAGCGCCCGGTCCGGGTATCGAGTTGGCTACGATAGTCACCTCCGGCCGGCATCGCGTTTGACGACACGATACTCTATGACTAGACCGCAATACCGGGTAAGGTCCGGAAGAACCGGGACGCCCTGGTGTCAATCCGTCGCCAGCGGGATCTCAGGCACGGAGATTGCCCAAATCACGGCTGGGGAAATGTGGATGAAATCCCGAAATGAATGCGTCCGCTACCTTAAATAAGTGTTGACACAACATCGGTTTAAGAATAGATTGACGGTGGAAGGCCATGAAAGCGCATACCAGATTTGAGGGAGCCTATGTTTCTGTGCGTGTGCAAGGCGGTTCGGATTTCCGAAGCGGTCGATGCGGCCAAGGCCGGCGTCGACTCCCCGGAATCGATCAGGGACTTTTTCGGCTTCGATGACGACGAATGCTGCGGCCGGTGCGCCATTCACATAGAGTCCGTCGCCGCGCGGGTCCAGGTCGAGTTGAGGAAAGCCGATAGGGTCCTCAGCCCCGTCTCCGGTGCTGGGCCGCGCTCAGTGCGGAGACAGTAGACCAGTACCTCCCCCGGTGAGGCGGGGAGATGGCTCCGTCCATTCAATGGGTGGGGTTCCACCTTGGGTCCAGCGACGCCGTGTTATCATCAGCGCGCCGCTAAATTTACCCGAAGGGAGAAACCTGTTGAAAGCAAAGGACGGGGTGGTTGACCACCTCAACAACCTTTTGACCATCGAGCTCACCGCCATCAACCAGTATTTCGTCCAAGCCGAGATGTGCAAGAACTGGGGCTTTGAGCGCCTCTACAAGGGGTTCCGCTCCACCAGCATGGAGGAGATGGAAGACGCCCAGCACCTCATCCGGCACATCCTCTTCCTGGAGGGCGTCCCCAACCTGCAGCGTCTCAACCAGATCATGGTGGGAGAGACCGTTCCCGAGGATCTGGAGTTGGACCTCCAGGCCGAGATGAACGCCGTCAACGCCCTGGGCGAAGCCATCGCCCACTGCGAGCAGGTGCAGGACTACGCCACCCGAGGCATCCTGCAGGAGATGATCCGCTCCGAAGAGGAACACGTGGACTGGCTGGAAACCCAGCTGGAGACCATCAATATCATCGGGCTGGAGCTCTATCTGAACCAGCAGATTCACGAAGACTGATTGCCCGACCCGTGCGACTTTTCGCGCCGGCGCGTTCACCGTGCCGGCGTTTGCGTTTTCAGGCGCTCCATCCCCGTGGCGGCAGGTTACGGGTAAATCGCCGATCCTACGGTGGCGGGATAAAATGGCGTCGATTTTGCCCATGGAGTGCCACCCCATGCGCATTGCCTCATACAAATGTTACTTGAACTTTGGTCGTATTAGTCTCCTGGCCGTTCCAGCCACGCAGTCCGAGGGCTGACCATCACCGTCGTCGGAAAGACCCGCTGCAACGTACTCGCGAACCTGGTTTGCGCGTTCGTCGTGCCTGCCCTCTGGCTTATTGATACCCGCAGTGGTTCGCATAATTGTCATTACGTAAACCGCTCCGTGCGGGGATTCTTACCGCCGGCCCGATGGCGGTTTTCGCCGCCCCGTTTTGGACCCTCCGATTACGGATGCGCCACATCATCCGCCCCCGGGTCGTCGCTCCAGCCATCCAATCCGCGCCCGTCGCGACGCATTCCGTCGCCACCATAGCGCACCTGGCATTCAGCCTGGCGGGGACCATTCTGATACCGGACTGCGCCCCGCCCATGCGCCTTTCGCCCGCGCTCTTCCCGAAGCTCTCGCCGGCTCCTATTCACAGTAGCGGGCGTAGTCGGCCCTGATCTTCCCCATGGTGAACTCCCCTCTATCCAGCTGACCACGCAACCGCTGCTCCATCGCCTCGGCGCTCAGCGGAACAGTCCCGAGGGCGCCGGACACGGTCAGGCGATACAGAGCGGTGTTGGTGTCCGTCAGGCATTTGGCGTACCGACGCAACATACGGTCGTCGGTGTCACCTTCACAGGCCAGCATAACCAACAGGCCGACCATCAGCAGCAGCGTGTTCAACCACCGCTGCACGGTTGGTTCTTCCAAGCGCCGCATGGCACGCATTCGTCAAGGGCGCCGCAAGCCACTGGACAGCTGGTCCGCCGTCCTCTCGCCGAACAGACCGGACGCCGCCACCGCGGCGAATTCGAGATCTACGAAGTAGCTCTGCAGCGGGCTGTTGGCCGCCACCGGCCGCGACAGCGCCAAGCCCCGCTCCCGCCGGAACCTCTGCAGCACGCGGCCCATCCTCATCACCAACGTGCGCAACTCCACCGGCGTCAGGTCGGCCCGTTGGCAAAGTACATTGCGGTGGCTACCCCTTTCGCCCGCCCGCCACACCTGGAACATCACCCGTCTGGCCGCGGCGTCCAGGCCCGCCGTGAAGTCAGCAGCCAACTCCTCCGTCCAACGGCCGGGCGGCAACGCTGCAGAAGTGGTCGCTATCTCCCGCTCCGGAACGGTGGGAGTGTCCGCGGGTCTCCGTTCCGCGGCGGCGGTTTGCGGGCCGGCTGGACTCCAAGCGACGTCGGGAGCCCCGCCGACGATCCGGCGCATCGCCCAAGACACCTCGGCGACCTCGCCCTCCAGTTCCAGGTGGACCTTGACCATGCTGCTCACTCCGTTGCGCCTGCCGGATGTCGGCGGCAGTTACTCCTCCACAATGTCCGCCGTTGACTATAACCCACGCCGGCAGGAACGGCGACTGACTCGCTGGCCGTGGTTCCCGACCCTGCGGCGCCAGCGTTTCGCATTCGGGGTGGAGCGGATATGAAACCCAGTTAGAAGCGCTATTCCAATAATCCCGGGCCTCGCGGGGTATGCCCGGCGTCGGTCCATTCCGCAGCAGGTTTGGAAGCGTATCAGGTCCCGTCCGGCAATATCCAATTATCGCGCGGCGAATTGACGTGTGTAACGCGTCGTTTGCGCCGTTGTTTCAGGGAGTCTGGAGCACCTCCGGTTGGTAGGTCCAGATGATCAGGCGTACGCATAGCTTACGCATGGTTCTCGTTTGCGTTGACGTGATCCGGCGCTGGTGCTCGCGTGATGCGGCGAGGGCCGGCTAGTCGGCCTTCCTTTACAGCAGGGGCGGGTCGTCGTTCAGGTCGGGGAAGTTCTCGTTGGTGTGGGCGGCGGCTTCCGCGATGGCGTCGGCTTCGCTGGTGTGGAGCTTCTCGCAGAATCCGCAGTCGGGCTCGCCGGCCATTAGGTTCTTCCACTCGGCGGGGTTGTCGAACAGCGCCTGGTTGAGGCGGTCCATACCGTAGGCCCAGAAGGTGGTTGCGTTGCCTTTCCAGTCGGTGCTGAACAGGCAGGTCTGGCCGCACCGCGGGCATGCCAGTACGCGGTTGGGCAGGTTGGCCCTGGTGAATTCGGGGACTTCCTTCATCGCCGCCGCGTGCTGGGAGTCGGTGACCGTGTGGTCGAACGCTCTGAGGACGGTTTCCGCGTCGTTGTCCTGCAGGGCGAGGCAGGATGGGCACTCGGTCATGAACTGCGCTGGCTCCGGCGCTTGGGGGTGGTTGTAGCGCACCTGGGACCCGTCCTGGAATAGCACTCGGCGGAAGTAATGGAGCTGGTCGCAGTCGGCGCAGAGCAGGTAGATGAGGCTCTGGTGTGACTAGACAGGCAGAGGAACGCTCTGGGAGGACATGGTGATGCTCCTGGTCGCGTGGGACGTGCTGAATGTTGGGTTTGCCGGGCTGATGAAATCAGGGTGGCAGAGTTTGATCCAAACTCTGCCATCGGTAAAATCAAGGGAAAAAGGAGCAGACCAATGATGGACAATCTTGCGCAGATGCACCCGGTCCCGGTGAGGGACATCTGGCCCAGCGAAGACCGCAATTTCACGCCTTGGCTAGCCAAGAATATAGACCTCTTGGGCGACGCCCTTGGATTCGACCTCGAGGGAGCCGAAACAGAAGTATCAATGCCTGACGGTCGCAGGGCGGACATTGTGGCCCTGTACGGCGACCAAACCGCTATAATCGAAAACCAGTTGGAGGCGTCCGACGACGACCATTTCGTCCGGCTGCTGTACTACGCCTCCTGCCGGAATGCCAAGACCCTTATTTGGGTCGCTCCCGCCTTCGCACGCATGCACCGCGAGAACATGGCATGGCTCAACCGGGAATATGGGGTTGATGGCTACTGCGTCGAACTGAGCGTCTGGCGAATGGGGGATTCCACCGCTCCCATGCTCCGCCGCGTCGTTCCGGCAGAACCTGTGGACCCGCAAACTGTAGAAAACCTGCATTTTGAACGCTTCTACCGGGACTTCTATAGTTCGCTGCGCGACCGCTTTGCGGCGGCCGGTTTCGACCATACCGCGGAACCCGGCTGGGACGCCTCTGCCAATTTCCTCTGGTTCAGGACGCCATACGAGGGCGTCCATTACAGCGTAGTCCACGCTGACGAAGGCGACGGCGGAATCCACGCCTTCCTGCTGTTCAATGCGTCGGATCCCGACCCTCGCTTGGCTCAGCTCAAGGACGACTTTGGCGACGCCTCTGACCTTCCGCTGGAGTGGCACACCGGAGAAGAAGCAGGAGAGTCGTGGGTTAGCCTATCGCCCGATGCGTCGAACGCCGACCTGGAAGACCCGGAGGCAGCCCGCGAGTGGATGTTCTCCAACCTGGTACTACTTCGCGATACTTTAGAGCCTCACCTTCAAAAGCTTTTTGCTGGTTGAGAATGACCAGTGCCCGGCCGCCGAATAACAAAATCCACGTATATGTAACGGAATGGAAATATCTGGACTTTGTACATTTGGGTGGTGTAGCGAGGACGTCGGTGAGTTGAGCGTAAATTGCGGCTGGGGGTTTTCAACTGTCGGGTTTCAACCCCGACAGTGTAATATTTCAGCAGGCTAGCCATAGCACGAAGTGCGCCGATTCCGCTACGTATCTAACTTTTGTACAAAGTCCAGGAAATATGACCTGGTTGGAAATCTTTTCTTCCGTTCTCGCGGTGATTGCGGTGGTCATCTCTGCTGGATCCCTGCGGATAAGCCGTAAGGCTCACAAATTGTCCGAGATGCAGGCCCTACCGAGGATTATCTTCGTTCGTAGTTGGTCGTCGCAAGGAGAACGAGGACTTTACATCAAGCTCGAAACGATGTCAGACGAAACTGGCGCAAATCGTCTTGGGAGCCGTGATCGGCGCGTACTTCGGACGGAGGACTCCTGGCCTGTCGGCAAGCAACGGAGCTTGGTGTGGCGGCGTAGTAGGGTCAGGTATGTTCCTGATGGAAGGCCTGTGGGCGCTCTACGGTCTCCAGTGGATTTTCCTGTGGCCAGCGGCACTGTTGCTAGGGATCATCGGCGGTCCGGTGGTCACGTACCAGGCGTGTCGGTATCTGAGTGGTAGGGAACAGTCGTGACTATTCCGGACAGCCCGGGACACCCGATCTGTTCTACCTCGACGTAGAGTGCCGTTGTCGGAGCGCGCTCCGGGGGTTGGTTAGATTAGAGCAGAACCTGAATAGCGGAGATAGGGAGTGAAGATGGCTACGAGGCCAGGTAGGCGATATGAGTTAGTGGATGATACGGAGCTGGTTATTAACGACTGGGTCGCGGCATTGTGCAGGATGGTGGGTTGTGCGGAGTGCGGAGCGGAAACGGGTGAGCTTTGTGACCGGACTGCAGAGAAGGTGAACTACGCGCATGCGGAACGTCGGGCTGCGGCTAAGAGCGACGTGGGCGGTGAGGGAAGGTGCAAGGAATGCAGGTTCGTGGGAGTGGTCGCGGGAGCCCTCTCGGAGGTGCGGAGGCGCGGGCGACATTCCGTGGTGCGAGGGCCGGCATACGTCTGCAGGAGGTGGCCTCCACGGCGCGGGATCGGTGACGAGTACCACTTGACCGAGGTGGATCCACTGGGCTGGTGCGGAGAGTTTAGACCGGCTAGATGGGTGAGGGACGTGCATGAGTAAATCGAGGTCCCGCGTCGCGCTCGCTCGATGTTGGCCCCGGTGACGTTGAAAACGCCGGGGGGTTTTGATGGAACAGAGGTGTAAGTCGAGTTCCGCCTCCCGGATGACCAGGTAGCGGGTCACGGTTAGGGGCTCGGCCGGCAGGGACTGGTCTCTGGAAGGCTGACGTCGAGGGCGGTTTCGGCAGCTAAAAGATGCGCGATAAGCCCATTAT